GCACAGTCCTGATGTTACCAAACCACACGGCAGGCCATTAACTTAAATCCATTGAAAGTCCCAAGGTTGGCAGAGCATAGCAGGCTGCTGAACAATGACACGGCTACATGCAGGATCCAAAAGTGCCACAGGCTAGAGACTATTCCCAAGGCGTTTCCTTAAATATAGGAAGCAGACCACATTCCCGAAGGCAGCTACTCAGCTGCTTGTGGTAGATCCCACCGTGGAGCTGATTGCCAGTCTCATCATGGTGAATAACTACCACCAGCTGCCTAGCCACTCAACCAGGCCCAGCCAAGTTGACACACAAACATAACTACCACACTTGAGAAAAGAAGAATTTCTTCAAGAGTAAAAATACAAATCATACAGGGAAATATTGATAAATTCAATTACATTAAAATTATGAATATCTTTTCATCAAAAAGAATAATAAATAGTGAAAGGATAAGCCTCTGAGTGACAATATATGTTAAACATGTAGCAGGCAAAGAGTTAATATACAAAATATATAAAGAATTCCTGTAATCAATAAGAAAAGCACAAAGAACTCAATGATAAAATGGGCAAATAAAAACTTTAAGGAGGTATTTCATATAAGAAAACATATAAGGGGCCCCTAAACATATAAACATATGTTCAACTTCATTAGCAATCACAGAAATAGAAATTAATAGAACAATGAGATGCACCAGACAAGCAAAAATTAAAAAGTGAGATAATGCCAACTACTGACAGAGATATGGAACAATAGACACTGGCTCTCATCTAATGCTAGTGGGAGAGTAATTGATACAAGAACTTTGGAAAATAATTTTGCACTTCCTAGTAAAACTTAGGCACACTTGCCCTACAATCTCGTTATACCACTCCTTAGTAAATCCTTTTGAGAAACTCTTGCACATATGTACCAGGAGATGCATTTGAGAATGTTTAAAATAGTAAAAATCAAATGATCCAAAAGTTCATCACAGTAGAATGGATACATGATGATACATATTCACTTAATAGACTACTATATTAAAGTGAAATATAAATGAACCACAAATACATGCGTAAACCTAGATGAATCTCAAACAGTGCAGAGCAAATAAATTTCAAGTAAAAATATGTCAGTGAGATTCCATATAAATAAAAGTTCAAAAGCAAAAGCAAATATTTATATTGTTTAAGAGTAGCTACATATGTGTTAAAAGTATCAAAAACAAATAAAAGCAAAGGAATGATTAAGATAAATTCATGACAATTGTTACCACAGGCAGTTATGGAAATAACAGAATATGACCTGATAATGATAATAATCTGTGAAGGAACTTTCAAAGATACTATTTCAAAGTTATGGAAATAACAGAATATGACCTGATAATGATAATATCCTGTGAAGGAACTTTCAAAGTTCTAACTTTTACACTGTGCTATGAGTTGATCAGGAGCTCTGGTAGTATAGTGTCTAAGGCACTTAGCTGCTAACCAGAAGGCTGGTGGTTCAAATCCACCAGCCACTCCTCAGAAGGAAGGTTGGGAAATCTACTTCCTCAGAAACCCAAGGAGGGGTCGCTATGTATCGGGTCCAACTTGACAACATATAACAACAACAACAACGAGTTGATCAGCAGGTCTTTGTTATTATTGTATGTGTGTGTATATAACATTTATACCCTTTTGTGTATATATTTCATAATAGAAATGATAAAAGAATTTCAAGACATATAAGGATCAACAAACTTTATAGAAGTAGCTATTGTAAAGGAGTTAAATTAACTCTGATTTAAGTTAACTGCACACAGTGTGAAAATAAACAGTCATTCACAATATAATAATCTGACTTTGAAGATGTAGGGACTGGTTCATTGTTTGAGTTAGTTTAAACTGGAAAATTGGCCTTAACAGTTATGAATAATTTTAAAGAGTTGAAACGAAAGCAGAGTCCATTCTGGCCATTCAAGGAGGTGTATTCATAATTTACTTGACTGGAGAACATGAAATTTAAACATGTGTTGATCAAAATTATTTTTATTTTCACATAGTATCTATAAAATCAAATTGACCTGTCATCAAAAGTTACTAATTTATCAAACAAATCATATATTTTAAGAGGTTGAATTCAAATTAAACGTCACCTGTCATTCCATGACTTCGCATTCTTCCCATCTTGTATTCTGCTTTCAGAGATGGTAAAAGTGCTGCTCCAATGGCTATACCATCTAACATGGCACTAAACTTAAGAACAATAGGCTTCTTTTCTAAGCCTTCAGGTAGCTGAGGAAATTCATTTGTTTCTATTGGAGTTTGATTAACACTTGTCGGTGTTTTTTCAGAAGGTAGAGGGGTTGCAATATCTTCTTTTGCAGGCTGTGGGCTATAAATCAAAGCAAGTAAAGTAAAAAGAAACACAATTAGAACAGTTACCAATTCACTGTGTAGAGTTATTGGAGTTCTCAGTGATAAATCGCAAAAATGTACTTTAAACAGGTATTTTCTATCCAACACCAGAGCACATGAAGACCTCCTAAAAAACAATGATGATCTGTAAAAATAAACAAGAAGAATATGAACCCCTGGAATGTTACATTACCAAGGCTGTTCATTATCATTAATGCAAAATAGAAATTTATATTCAGGTTTGTCTGATTCCAAATTCTAGTACTTAACCATTATGCAAACTACTACTGATAGTAATATTATCACTACTATTATTGGTAGTATTAATAACAGCACCATCACCACCACCAATTATTATTTGAGAACTTACAATGTGCCATGTTCTGCTCGTAGTGTTTTATCTCATTTATTCATTTACCTCACAAAACCCTTTGAGTAGGTAGTATCTCAACTTTGAAAATGAAGATACATAGTTAGCAAGTGGTGAAGCCAGGATTTGAATCTAGTCATTCTGGTTCCAGAATCTGCCAATGAGTTTGCAGTGTAGTAAATTACTTTGTGTGGCTTTTCTACCCATAAGTCTTTGTAAACTCCAAGGTGGGATTTTCTATGAGCAAGTGAGGAGCTCCTGATTGCTGAAGGTGTCCACCTGGAATATTTCTGTTGGGAGAAGCACAAAACAATGTTCTGGGAGGTGCCCACTCTCTCTCAGGTGCTTAGAGTTCTGATGCTATAATGGCACAGTCCTGATGTTACCAAACCACACGGCAG